CCCCCTCCACCAACACCATACCCCTCCCCTACCACAGGACCCCCCTCCCCTACAAGAGAACCCCTGCCCCCCACCCCTCCCGTCACTCCAGCCTCCCTCAGTATAAACAAATGACGCAACACGTCCAATGTACCATAGCTAACTCCCGCGGAGTTAGCTATCTCTCGCTCACCCAATTAAGGCAACTAATTACCCTCATCCAGTGAGAATGTGCTTGAAAAATCACCTTAAGATAATTTGGACTGGATGAAACCTTACCTCCAAAAAATAAAATATTTATTGTACGTCTGGCAGGGGTGGCCCAGGGACGTTCATTGTGAGTGCAACAAGGACATAAAATTCACACTCCATTCATTCATTTTGCCTCAAAATTCCTTAAAAACAATCCCGATACAGGCCAAAATGGGTGAGGAAAGGGGGGGGCGGGAACTCATGTATCACTCTGCCATAATCCCCTCATGAATCTGTTATAATAAACTAGAATTTACGTCTAAAAAAAAAAAGTCTGAAAAACGAGATGCGAGCACAAGTTATATAACCAAAGGAATGTGAATAAAATGATTGTTTGATTGGTGAGGCGGTGACCTGACTGGACCAGCCTGACCCAAAATGACCTAAGATGACCCGTGGAGGCACTGTGGTGCCTCACGAAGACGCGTTACTTAGAATATATGTTACGTATTATGCGAATGTTATGCAAATATGCTGTATGTTATCATGCTGGTGTGGAAATCACATCTGAACATCTTTCCAGAGCGGGTGCAACTCTAGTTGGTCGGTGGAAATAATGGGGACCCCAGTAGATGCCAGTGGAAATAATGGGGCCTCAGTGGATACCAATGGAAATAATGGGGACCCCAGTAGATGCCAGTGGAAATAATGGGGCCCCAGTGGATACCAATGGAAATAATGGGACCAGTAATGCAGTGGAATATGGGGCCATGTACAATGGAAATAATGGGGACCCCAGTAGATGCCAGTGGAAATAATGGGGACCCGAGTAGATGCCAGTGGAAATAATGGGGCCCCAGTGGATACCAATGGAAATAATGGGAACCCCAGTAGATGCCAGTGGAAATAATGGGGCCCCAGTGGATACCAATGGAAATAATGGGGACCCATATGGAAATAATGAAAGTAATGGGGACTCCAATAGAAGTATTATGGGGACCCCCAATGGAAGTAAGTCAATAGGAATAATGAGGACCCCAGTAGATGCCAGAGGAAATAATGGGGACCCCAGTAGATGCCAGTGGAAATAATAGGACCCCAGTGGATACCAATGGAAATAATGGGGACCCATATGAAAATAAGTCAATGAAAGTAATGGGGACCCCAATAGAAGTATTATGGGGACCCCCAATGGAAGTGAGTCAATAGGAATAATGGGAACCCCAGTAGATGCCAGTGGAAATAATAGGACCCCAGTGGATACCAATGGAAATAATGGGGACCCATATGAAAATAAGTCAATGAAAGCAATGGGGACCCCAATAGAAGTATTATGGGGACCCCCAATGGAAGTAAGTCAATAGAAATAATGGGGACCTCAGTGGATGTCAGTGGAAATAATGGGGACCCCCAGTGGAAATAAGTCACACTGGTGTACTGTGTTATGTTGGGATGAATGAACATGTAAATAATACCATTGTACACTTAGGTACACTGTAATTTTTAAGAGTACCCATGGAGAAAATAAAAGCGTATGTGCGGCCAGTAGCAACAGCCTGGTTGATCAGGCCCTGATCCACCGTGAGACCTGGTCAAAGAGTGGGTTGCGGGGGCGTTGGCCACCGGAATAACCTCCAGGTAGACTCCAGGTGGACTCCAGGTAGACTCCAGGTGGACTCCAGGTAGACTCCAGGTGGACTCCAGGTAGACTCCAGGTGGACTCCAGGTAGACTCCAGGTAGACTCCAGGTAGACTCCAGGTAGATTCCAGGTAGACTCCAGGTGGACTCCAGGTAGACTCCAGGTGGACTCCAGGTAGACTCCAGGTGGACTCCAGGTAGACTCCAGGTGGACTCCAGGTAGACTCCAGGTGGACTCCAGGTAGACTCCAGGTGGACTCCAGGTGGACTCCAGGTAGACTCCAGGTAGACTCCAGGTAGATTCCAGGTAGACTCCAGGTGGACTCCAGGTAGACTCCAGGTGGACTCCAGGTAGACTCCAGGTGGACTCCAGGTAGACTCCAGGTAGACTCCAGGTGGACTCCAGGTAGACTCCAGGTAGGCTCCAGGTAGACTCCAGGTGGACTCCAGGTAGACTCCAGATGGACTCCAGGTAGACTCCAGGTAGACTCCAGGTGGACTCCAGGTAGACTCCAGGTAGACTCCAGGTAGACTCCAGGTGGACTCCAGGTAGACTCCAGGTAGACTCCAGGTAGACTCCAGGTAGACTCCAGGTGGACTCCAGGTAGACTCCAGGTGGACTCCAGGTGGACTCCAGGTAGACTCCAGGTAGACTCCAGGTGGACTCCAGGTGGACTCCAGGTAGACTCCAGGTAGACTCCAGGTGGACTCCAGGTAGACTCCAGGTAGACTCCAGGTAGTTCCAGGTAGACTCCAGGTAGACTCCAGGTGGACTCCAGGTAGACTCCAGGTAGACTCCAGGTAGACTCCAGGTAGACTCCAGGTAGACTCCAGGTAGTCTCCAGGTAGACTCCAGGTAGACTCCAGGTAGTCTCCAGGTAGACTCCAGGTAGTCTCCAGGTAGTCTCCAGGTAGACTCCAGGTAGTCTCCAGGTAGACTCCAGGTAGACTCCAGGCAGGTACATGCTGACATACAATACAATATCGGCTCCTTCACCCGCCCCGGGATCTAACCCGAGTTCTTCTGTTGTGAACTGAAGAGGCTTCCACTGAAGTACAGAAAGTTGTCCTCTAAATCGTCTAAATAATAACGAGAGAAACGGGGATAATTTTGAAACGTAAAGTTCAAAATCAAAACTCGTGTTAGAGCGCACAAGTTTCTTTTCAATTTGCTAGGAGAGCGCTAAGCCCGCAGGGGAACATAGAACGCCTGGGGGAATGGGTGGCAGTCAGAGTTGATCCTAGGAAGAAGAGTAGCCCCATCTTCTGGAATAAATCACAGTCACAGTACAGTGACTGGAATAATTCACAGTCACAGTACAGTAGTGAATATTCACAGCAACAGTGAGGAATGATTCACAGTCACAGTACAGTGAGTGGAATAATTCACAGTCACAGGACAGTGAGTGGAATAATTCACAGTCACAGTACAGTGAGTGGAATAATTCACAGTCACAGTACAGTGAGTGGAATGATTCACAGTCACAGTACAGTGACTGGAATGATTCACAGTCACAGGACAGTGAGTGGAATAATTCACAGTCACAGTACAGTGACTGGAATAATTCACAGTCACAGTACAGTGAGTGGAATGATTCACAGTCACAGGACAGTGAGTGGAATAATTCACAGTCACAGTACAGTGACTGGAATAATTCACAGTCACAGTACAGTGACTGGAATAATTCACAGTCACAGTACAGTGACTGGAATAATTCACAGTCACAGTACAGTGAGTGGAATAATTCACAGTCACAGGACAGTGAGTGGAATAATTCACAGTCACAGTACAGTGAGTCGAATAATTCACAGTCACAGCACAGTGACTGGAATAATTCACAGTCACATTACAGTGAGTGGAATAATTCACAGTCACAGCACAGTGACTGGAATAATTCACAGTCACAGTACAGTAACTGGAATAATTCACAGTCACAGTAGAGTGACTGGAATAATTCACAGTCACAGTAGAGTGACTGGAATAATTCACAGTCACAGTAGAGTGACTGGAATAATTCAGTCACAGTACAGTGACTGGAATAATTCACAGTCACAGTAGAGTGACTGGAATAATTCACTGTCACAGTACAGTGACTGGAATAATTCACAGTCACAGTAGAGTGACTGGAATAATTCACAGTCACAGTAGAGTGACTGGAATAATTCACAGTCACAGTAGAGCGACTGGAACAATGCACAACCAGTCACCACTTTGTGAGTTTCGCTTTGTTGTTTCTTGATGAGGGTCCAGGACCAGCCGAAACACTTGACGGTCCAGGACCAGCAGATACACTTGATGGTCCAGGACCGGCCGAATTATCGCCTAAATTTTCTCTCCTAACTGTTGCAATTTAACCCAACAGGATTATAATAATCCTACAGGATTGTAGTTAATCCTACAGGATTTTGATCATCCTACAGGATTACGCTAATCCTGGAGATTTATTTCCCCGAAATTTCTCGGTAATAAAAGTAAATACAGAGAAATGTTCAAAATATTGTGCAAAAAAAATTTAATAGTCGGAAGCGCTAAACCCACAGGGACCAGACAGCATCAGGGACATTGGGGAGCTGAATCTGGCATGATTCTGGGAAAGGGGAGGGCGGCTCCGCTGCTCTGGATCGAGAGCCCTTCGCCCGGCGTCAAGGCATCCCCCGGCGACTTAAGAATGAACTTCCGGTGAAAGACTCGCCAAAATTCCCCTGTGTTGGCCCCGTGCACCCCCTGGGGCCGGGTCACCACCGGGGACCGGCCATTGAGCGAGTGTTACTTTACAGTCACCAATCTCCACCGCTGCTGCTCTGCTACTTACGTCACTACACGTCACACTTAGCTGCCAGCAACGTTCGCTTCCAAGCTTTAATATCGACGCACCTCCTGCAACGCCCTGAAAACGTATTTCGCGTATGCAAAATACGAGAATTATTGTAACATATATGTGATTTTTTTTTTAATTCTCTCGAGGTCACTATGTCAGTGTGTCTCATCAAGAAGCGTTGCCATCGTATTGCAGCAGATGTAAATAATTTCTACGTTAAAATGTATATAATTTCGTGTTAATTAGCCGGGATGTAGACATCACCAGATGCCCACACTTGTAACTTACGTCTTCGTCTTCCGACGTTCGCTGATAGAATAACTCCCCCCGAGATCAGTGTATAACAACTGCGCATGCGCTGGCCGACCGACACATATATATTGGTAGCTCTGCGGGATTTCTTCAGTACTCCACTAGCGGTTCTCCTGGTCAGAGCTCAGGCGAGAGACTAATTTGTTCTACTATAGAGTAACCTTTGGATCTCTCGTACTGCGACTGAAGAACATTTTCCAACTAGTGGTAGTGATTTGAAAGGCACAACGGCGGCCTTTGCAGATTATTCGTGTGAGTGGGGTGACAATCTCGGCGCGCTGGACGAGTCTAGGTACGGAGCGGGCGTCTCGCCATGCCCACAGAGCAATATGGAGTCTCCACAGCTGTATGATAGTGCCGACTACAACAAGAAGAGTGTGGCTAGTGCTGTCAAGGTCAAAGGCAGCAACCTGTTGTACCCAGGAGACGACTACAGTGACCTGGCGGAACTGAGCGCGCCGGAGATATCCCTCGACCTACATAACCTCATTGACGACTCCCAGTTCAACGAAGGCCTCATTCAGGACATCCAGGGCCTGAGTGTGGACAAGAGCACCGCCCACCGAGGACTAGGCGTTAACAGTATGTACAATCCTCTAGCCTACCTACCCCAGCCCGTCCACGGGGCAACCCAGTTCGACCGACAGTACCCAGATCGAAGTCAGTTAGATCGACGGGTCATCAAAGAAGAGCCACATGAGAGCCAACAAGAGGTGGCGGCCCACGAATACAGTGCCTGTGCCAGAGTGAGTGCCAGCGGCTACGGTGCTCACTACGCGGGAGTACCAGCTTACTCCAGCATGACACCAACCACCATACCAGGAGCCGACAGCTTATGCAGATCGCCGCTTAAGTCCCCAAACGGAGGCAAAATAATGCCTGGGTGCAAGAAGAATGTTGATAAGGGTAGTGATGAGTATAAGCGAAGACGAGAGAGGAATAACATCGCCGTCAGGAAAAGCAGGGAGAAGGCGAAAGCCAGAACCCGGGAGACGGAAGAAAAAGTGAAGGTAAGAATTCCTTGCCAGTGTCACGCCTCTTGTTCTGTTAAGTTCTAACTCAGATTAGTTCTGGGACAGGATTCTTACCTCGTCTTCGCTTGTACTCGTCCCCACCCTTGTCAACGTTCTCCTTGCAATATCTTTCTAGATAATTTTCAAGCATTACACAGCTAAGATAATTCTGTCATTCTTGCAATGGCTACCTCCAAGCACAGCAGCACTACTCACTATACTAGGCGAAATTAGTGTAAAATTAACCTAATTTACTGTCAGACGTGAACTTGTGTTTATTTTAATTGTCATGTCTGAAATTAAACATGACGAGAGACACTACAGGATGTAGCTGAAGTAAAGCGGAAAAAATGGTTCCAGGAAATACTTGTGTAAAGCCAAGTTTCCTGAGCATCCCAGAGATGTGTCAGGTGTGGGCGGGCGCGTGTTTGCCTACGTGTGTGGAAAGTGTGGGAAGTGTGCTTACTTATATGGCTCCTGTGTGTGTGTGTGTGTGTGTGTGTGTGTGTGTGTGTGTGTGTGTGTGTGTGTGTGTGTGTGTGTATGTACTTATATATGGTCGATTCACAGCTCCTGGCCTCGCGTGTCTCACTGGGATTGCTTTGGTGTTTGTGTGGGTGGTATTGTGTTTGTGTGTGGGGGAGTGTGGGTGGATGGGAGTGGGTGTTTGTGTATTTAACTGGTTTGTAGTTATAAGAGAAAATTTGTGTTGTAGAGCTCTTGTCTTGAAATTGTAAATGTTTGTTCAAAATTGGCAGTGATTGGTTCTGACTACTTCATATCTCTCACCACAAATTGTGTGTGTGTGTGTGTGTGTGTGTGTGTGTGTGTGTGTGTGTGTGTGTGTGTGTGTGTGTGTGTGTGTGTGTCGGACACGTGGAAGTTATTGGAGCCTTGTTTACGTCGCTCTGGGTGTGGGATAACACTGAAGATTGGAATCAAATCCCTATCAGGATCAGACTTGCAAACAAGCACAAGACTGCCTGTTGAGGGTTGCGGGCCTGCATGATTCAGCGTGTGCGTTCGTGTGTGTGTGTGTGTGCACGTGTGTGTGCGTGTACGTATGTGCGCTCTGGCGGTGGGCGGGCCCAGACTGGGCTGCCAAATGTCGCCGGGCTGGGAAGTGTGCCGAGGCGGACCTACGTGTAAATTACCTTTCATTTGGATTGTAGGAGGTGAGGTGGGCTTACGAGCAGGCCCAGTGTGTTGACGTCAGTGTTTGGAGTTATGACGATGGGAGGAGAGGGGGAGGGACGATTGAGAGGGGGCGATTAAGGAGGGGGAGTAGTAACTTCCACCTTTCACCTGTGATCTCCTAGGAAGTTCCTTCTTGACTCAGTGAATTCTTGGGGCGGGGGTGACTCATACCTTGTATATTCATGGTTTGCTAGTACTAGATGAGTCACGGGTGATCAGTGCTACTAGGTGCTGGAGGTGGTCAATAATCTGTAGCTCTCCCAGGTTAGGTTAAATCAATAATAATGCTGGTATAGTGATACATAAAGTCAATACTGAGTAGGTACTGCTGTCCTGTCTTCAACACTGAAACAATAATAATGATGACGATAATATTAGAAATAAATAATTAACACTTAATACTGTTAGGTGATCAGTTAATTAGAATGAGGGAAGAACTGTGTCCTCGCTTAGCTTGGACAGTTAAAATATGTATCGCTTATTAACCGCCTTGAACGAACCGAACTAACATGACGTTCTCTTCTCGTATTACAGAAACTTGTGATGGACAACGATAGACTAAGTAAGAAATGTGAGCTACTTAGCAAAGAGGTGGCGGTCTTCCGCTCCTTGCTTGCCAACGTCCACTGCCTACCTGAGCACATGCAACGGGAACTCCGCAAGCAAGTCGAGGCCTTCAGTCAACAACACCAGCATCTTATCAACATGTGATGCCGGCAGCTCCGCACCCGCACCGAAGACCCTGCAGCCTGCGGCAGCGCCAGCAGCAGCGGTGGTGGTATTGAGTGTATCACTACTACGCCGCGGTACACCAGCCTTTAGTTTAGGTCTGACCTCCAATACACCGTAGCGCTGGCGCGGGTGGGTGAGAAAGAAGAAAAAAAAGAGGCGTGCCAGCAGGTTTGGACATGCCCTTAGGTGCAGCAGCAAGGAAGAGGGGGGTGTGGGTGGCCAGCTAGTCACTGTTTCACTGTCCCGGACCGCTATCAGGCCCCTCCACGTCCGGCTTCCACCGAGGCTGGATCAGACGACGGATAAGACCTCAAACACGCCTCTCCAGGTCTCTCCTCAACGGGGCTGGACTAGACGAAGGATAAACACCTCACCTTTCAGAGGACCTACCCCGAGACGGCATATATTATATACCAGGGGCGTCGCCCCAGTGCTTACCCTCAGCCTCTTACTGTCTCTCGTCGGAAGTGTATATATTTAACTACAAGTTAGAGCCTAAGTTATATGGGGCAGAGACGGTGGTAATAGCAGAGGGAGGGCCAGGGGCGCGCCGCCCCACCCCTTGTGATAACACGCCTCGGGAACACTCATCCGGCCTCTCCGTTAATAAACTCTATGAGAGACTGATGTGTGCACAACTGAACGTTTTAGACTTTTTAAAAATATATTTTAACGAATAAAATCAAATTTTTGTATGTTTTATTAAGTATAAATAATAAAAAATGTTAATGAAACATATAATATCAATTAAACCCGCATATTTCTAATTTATGAAGATAATTAAGAGCCATATATATATATAAAATATATATATATATATATATATATATATATAATATATATATATATATATATATATGTTATGTATATATATATATATATATATATATATATATATATATATATATATATATATATATATATATATATATATATATATATATATATATATATATATATATATTATATATATATATATTTATATATACTATACAGATGGTATATAATGTATATATTAAGAGAGATTACCACAATAGACAGTTTTGTTATCTATAAATCTCCACAATATGGCTCAGTTTTCATATGTACATGTTTCTATGAAGTACAAAGTGTATGACAAACAGAATTTACTTAGACCAGCTCAAAATTTATTATAGACGTCCAATACTTGTGATTAGATGGTTACTGGTTAGATTAACCCAGAGTACTGTATGATAGATGTAAACCACGTACTGTGTAGATAGGGAGCAGTGTACGGGCTGTTTTAGTTCTCTTTTTGTGATGTTGATCGTCAAGTGCAGTTAAGAAGGAATTCCATTGCTCACTTTGAAACCAGACTATGTATATAGCATCTGTTAAGATCACTGTAAGCTGACACGGAGTCCAGCATATTCGTGATGAAGGCTGAGTATGCTGGGGTGCGCTTGTCCATGCCACGTACGCTCACTGCGGTTATCACCGTATGCTCAAAAATTAAAGTGAATTTAAGATGTCAGGACTGTGGTGATGGCACAGCACTGATAAATATGTGCCCAGAACATAACTTTCAAGTTACCAAGTGTTCGTGTGTGAGATCATGTCATAACAACGTGGAGGACAGTGCTTCCTCATAGTGTCCAGGCTGCCATAAATGTTAACGAGAAAACTGAGTAACTATATTTCTGGTTATGAGATACAGACTCTAATATTATATATACATATAAATATGAATATACATAAATATAAAAATACCTTACAGGTACATAATGTATTTAATGCAGTGACAGCCTTGAGCAGCTCTTCACAGCATCGTTCCTTCTCTTGCTAGTACCCAGGTAGAGATGAAAACATTACCACGCCCATTAATTTCCCGAATGACGAAGCCTCGGTACATAACACTGAGTAGCCAATGGCATGTTCTCCTACTTTGCAAAACTATTTTTTTTACATGTTTCCGAGGAACATCAATTCAATGAGTGATTTCGAACTAGAAATGGTGATTTTCTTGCCTAACGAGCCACCAACAGAGTTCGAATCGTGTGAGCGACTCCCAGTTCCTCATTCCTGGCCTCGACACTTCACACGACTCTTTCAATTACTTGACTAGGAAATCTGTGCTTCGATACAGTGATACAGTGTTAAGAGTCTTACTGTAGCCTACTGGCTGTGCGAGTGCTCCGAGGACCGTGTTTCTCTATGACCCCAAACGAGTTTAGCATTTTTTTTAATTATATCAATAACAATAACATCAATAATAACAATAACATTGATAATTATAATAATAACGGGAACCTGATTGTCAGTTGTCAGTGTTTAACCTTCATGAAACTGAGGAAATTCATTAGGTACTCCAGAATAGAAACTTTTATGTAGTTGCCTGAATTTCCATTATTGTATTTTCTGTTTAAACACGTAGGTTTTGTATACATAAAAAAAAAGATTTTCCCATGGCACTAATTTTTATACAGCTGAGGAGAATAGTGGTAGAATTATGAGCTAAGAGAGAAAAATATGATGACCCAATATTAAAAAAATTTAAAGGGGGTCTGAAAACCCACCGGGTCTAACTACTGTATTTCATCCCCCTCTTTATTTATATGTGTACATCATTAAAAATCTCTAACCATAGCTGGAGCTGCAGCTTTTTCATCATACTCAAAGATCCTATCCATTCCATTTCAGTGTAATTAATCCATTTTCAAATGTACTGTAAATAAGACAGAATACATATATGTAATACTGTTGTATATTTGAGAAAGTTGCAACCTTATTTTGTGCGTGTGTGTGTGTGTGTGTGTGTGTGTGTGTGTGTGTGTGTGTGTGTGTGTGTGTGTGTGTGTGTGTGTGTGTGTGTGTGTGTGTTTAGGTATAACTGCTAAATACACATTATCAGGAAGATTTCCGGCCACTTGCTTGGAGTGTGTTTCTGCTTCTTTCAAGGTGTCACTTAGGAAGCTAGGATCCCCTACTAGACCATTCCATCATTACTGACACTTCTAGCTCCTGTGCCCACTAAATAGCTTGCTAGAGGTGATTCAGTATTGCTAGTTACCTAATCTTCAATTCTAAAATACCAGTATATTTAACACTCAATTATTTAATAATTATTTATTATTCATTACTTAGTATAAATAATTGCCAAAAATTAATAGAATCTAAAGGAGGAATGGTCTATAATTTCTAAACTTAGGGAGATTACGAGACTTTATATTAACATTGTGACTCAACCCTATGATCATCAATAACTGAAATAATCAATACGGTTCTGTAATAAATCATTGTTTTTTTTTTATCTGCTTGTTGTCATCTTCATGTTCAATTGTTTTCCTTCAAATGTTTACAAAAAAATGTTTTAAAAAAATGTTTGGAAAATGTTGACTGAATGATTTTCACCTCCGTTTAACACCCAAGTTATATAATGTCCATCTTTTAATGTTTTGGATCGAAAGGTGTGAAACCATACTGAGGCTGATGTCAACAAAGACACCGGTCCAGAGCATGGTCTTACCGTGACAACGTTTCGCTTAGAGTGAAACGTTCTCACCGTGAAACTTATACAGCACCCCCTTTGAATCCTATGATGCCATCTCTATCCAGTCATCCTCTTAGTGCCATCATTATGAATGAGGATGATAGGATGACAATAATCATCATACCGAATGAAAAAAAAATCTATCATCACTATATTGACCAAAGATGGCAAAATAAGGAACGATGTGATTCATAGAGAGATTTTAATAGACGTGTTTTTCTGGAGGTCACTTGGGTTGTACTGTTCTGACATACAACTCAGTTGAATATTTATGGTTTAATGCTGATTACTCGTTAAGGTTTGTCGTGAAATTCAGTTGATATTGCAGTTTTTTTTCCCGTGTAAATTGACACAGCAGAACGCTGTTTTGGAACTGTAATGGTGTGTAATTATGGACAAGGTGGAGGGAACGTCACGTTTGCAGTGGATGTCTTTATTACCGACAACGTTTCGCCCATACAGTGGGGTTAGTAAAATCCCACATGTGGGCCGAAAGTCGCTAATAAAGCTCTTTACTGCATCCAAGTGCCATTTACTCCAGTAGTATTAATACAAAATTCCGTTGCTATTGTTAAAAAAATCATAATTTTCCTGTAGAATTGTGTTCAGGCAGAAACTGTATTTATAAAGCTTCACACTACATACTGATAACAGCATTGTTCTTACTGCTAAATTATGTTAATGGAGATTTGTGTTCAACAGGTTATAATTTAACTGATTTATGTATCCATTTGTAACCATAGAAGTATAGAACTATGCTCGTGTTAACACCTTAATTTGTTCACGACTCACGTTTGTATACAAGCCATGGAACGGGTGGGAGTTAAACCCATAGCGAGTGAGTCGTGCGTAAGCCACTGGGACAATTAATTTGTGCATTATATAATTGGTTTTACAATTGCTAAATTGCTTTTTTCACGAATCGAGGCACAGTTCCTGGCCTCGACTCGAAGCTCTTACAACCCCCCTTCCCAGTGATTTGCGTGGCTACAGTGTTTGGTGCAAACATGTGTTACCACTGAGGTGTAGTGAAACATGGCTGATGTTTAGGAAAACACACAAGTGTTGAGACAGGTAGACAGGGTGCATGTCTTGGTGAAGCCATTGTCTTGAAACACCAGGTAGTGTGTGAGTACAAATTCACTGATGTAGCGATAGTATAAGTGAACTGACTGGTTATGAATCTGTAACCACACTTCACCACGTAGAAACTGAAGAATGTAAGCCGCAACACCGTGGTTGGAACAATTCGTCACTGACCCCCACTCAGTGCCGTGATTACGACTCGGGACTCAGAGGGAATCGTCACCCCAAAATTCCCTCTTCCCCCAAAATATGGGTTAGTGGTGAATTGTCACAGTCAGAGTATTGTGGATTAGTTGTGAAGGAGGTTGCAAGTAAGAACGTAGCAACACTAAGTCCCTGGATGCAGAAATTGCCCTTATTGAGACCTTTGACTTGTGAACAATGCATAGATACAGTTATTGTCCTGGAACAAACATATCGATGTCCTGAAAGATTTTCTTTGTTTTTTTTTTGGTGTTCCTTTTAGACAAACCGAAGGTGGGCCAAGGTGAGGAAGCAATGCTAACCCATGCAATGTGGAAGAAGGAGGGGGAGACGCCCCCTTCTCTGTGTGTTGTGTGGGGGCACAGAAAAAATGTTTACTTAATAAAATCTATTTTGATATTTACTGACTTTGTGTTACCCTTCTGGAAGTACTCACAGATGGAATAGTTTTTTTTTTCATTTAAAACCTGTCGTCTCTGGATGAATTATTATTATTATTATTATTATTATTATTATTATTATTATTATTATTATTATTATTATTATTATTATTATTATTATCATTATTATTATTTATTATTATTATTATTATTATATATATTATTATTATTATTATTATTATTGTAAATTGTATGTTTATTATTACTATTTATTTTATGTATTTTATTTGAATATATTATTATAATGAGTCAGTTTCGATTTCGAGAAAAAGACTTGTGCGAAACAACTTTAAATTACTGTGGCGAAACATCGCTAACAGTTAAAGCTCGTTCGCTCCGTGTCTTTTATGTGTTTTCAGTGTTTAATACTTTTGTTTCCTCCCTCCCTTCCTACTCTCCCTCCCTTCCTACTCTCCCTCCCTTCCTACTCTCCCTCCCTTCCTACTCTCCCTCCCTTCATACTTTCCCTCCCTTCCTACTCTCCCTCCTTCAC